GAATTCCTTATCTGTGTTAACTTGAATTTATTTGAGATTCCTCAAAACAGCTGTTTTGAATTCTGTGTCTGAAAGGTCACATATCTCTGTTTCTCCAGGATTGGTCCCTGGTGCCTTATTTAGTTTATGACTTGATGAGGTCATGTTTTCTGGATGGTGTCAATACTTGTAGATATTCATCTCTGAGCATTGAAAAATTAGATATTTTGTGGTATCTTTCCGGTCTGTGCTTGTTTATAACCATCCTTCTTGGGAAGGATTTCTAGATGCTCAAAATGACTTGGGTGTTGTGATCTAAGCTGTATCTACTTTAGGGGAACCTCCAAGTTCAGTAATGCTTTGATTTGTGTAGAGGTACCACCTTGATCATCTAGGACAAGATTAGGAAAAATTCACTGGGTTACCAGGCAGAGACTCTTGTTCTCCTCCTTTACCTTCTCTCAAACAAATGGAGTCTCTTTGTTTTGAGCCACTGGAGTTGGGGGTGGCATTACATAAGCACTCCTGTGGCCACCACCCCTAGGACTGCATTAGGTCAGACCTGAAGACAACATAGTACTAGGTTTTGCCAAGGCCTGCTTTAACCACTCCTTGGGTACTGCCTATGTCAACTCAAAGTCCTGGAGCTCTACAGTCAGCAGGTGTCAAAGCCAGCTAGACCTGTGTCCTTCCGTACAGGGAGGTGATTTCCCATAGCAGGGGAGGGTGTCCAAAGTTACCAGCCTGGAGCCAGGGCTAGAGTCAAATACCTTAGAAGTCTGCCTGGTTTGCTATTGCACTGTGGCTGAACTGACACTCGAACCACAAGATGTAGTCCTTGCCACATTTCCTTCCCCTTTCCAAAAGCAGAGGAGCCTCATTCTGTGGCCATCAACACCTCAGGCCCACTGGGAGTACTGCCGAACTGCCACTAACATTACCTTAAGGCCCAAGGGCTCTATAGTCGGCTTGTGGTGAATGCTGCCTGGCCTGGGACTCCCTCTTCAGGGAAGTGGACTCCCTTTTGGCCCAGAGCAGGTCCAGAAATGTCATCTAAGAGTCAAGTCCTGGAACTGGTGACCCCAAGACCCCACTTAGTGCTCTAGCCCTTGTGGCCAAACTGGTGCCTAAGTACTTTCCCATCCACTTTTCTCAGGTAGAAGTAGTCTTGCCCCATACCCACCACGGCTGGGTGTGTGTTGAATCTCACCTGAATCCTGCAAGTCTCAGAGTCTCATCCAAGGCCATTGATGTAGTACATGTGTATCACTGCTGGGTATTCAGGACCCAAAGGCTTGCTCTTCAGTTAGCAGGTGTTGAACCCTACCAGGAATGAGCCCTTCGTCTGTGGAGTAGATTGTTTTCTAGCCCAAGATATATCTGTAAATGTCCATGAGCTAGAGTCTAGAAAGGGGGCCTCACAACTCTGACCAATACCCTATCCTGCTACGGCTGAGTTGCCATCCAAGGTGCAAGACAAAGTCTTCCCCACTCTTGCCTCTCTTCCTCTCAAGCAGAAGGAAATAGTCTCTTTGGAGCTGTGAGTTGTGCAGCCTGGGGTTAGGGGATGACTGATGCCAGCACTCCTTTAGCTTCCCCAGCTGGTGACTCAGCAGGTTGTGTGCTCCCCCAGTCTGCTGTCTCTGGGCCCAGTTCAGCCATAGGACTCACCTAGGTGTTGCAATTCTTGTAGCCTAGACTGCCTTTCAAGGATTTGGGGCCCCATAGCCCTTTAGCCTGTGGTGATGAGGCTTACAGAAACTCAGTTTCCTACCACTAGGATCCAAGATTTCCCACTGGCTAGGGCTGGTTTAAATGCTCCCTCCATGGGTGGGCATTAGGTGAGTTTGATACCATTTTGCTTTCTGTTATAACACGGGCAGCACTGAGTTCAATACATCACAATTTCTGGATGCCTCTCCCCAGGGCATGGAAACACTCTCTGCATGCTGCTGCTGCTGGGGTATGGAAGAAGGATGGTGTTGGAAACTCAAGACTGTTTTTTCCTACCTCTTCAGAGCTTCTTTCAATGATACAAAGTTAAAACCAGGTACTGTGAGTTCTCACCTGGTTTTTGTTTTTTTACAAAGGTGCTTTCTTTAAAAAAAAATGTAGATAGTGATTAAATTGGTGTCCTTGTGGGGGTACGATCAGTAGAGTCTTCTTTTCTGCCATCTTGCTCCACCCCTCCTCATCAACTCAACCTTAACATTAATTGATAGTCTTGCAAAATCTTCTACGATGTAAAGTTAGAATTGTGATTTTAGAACACCTGTATTTACCTGTGCTAATATCTGTTGTTTGCTAAATACCATGGAGATGTGCCTGTTTTCTTCAGTTTATGTACTAGACTAACTTTTGCGAAACTTAGTCTTTTTAAAAATCATTATTATACTTAGGAAAAATAGAAAATTATTGTTATTTCATCAATAATTGAACCTTATTCTTATAAGTTCAATTTATTTATTTATTGAATAAATAAAGTAAATCACGTTAACACTTATTCCTGACATCAAAGGAGACAGGACAATCCCTGTTGCATGCTTTGCATGTGCAGACCACAGATGAAGCACTTCTCAGGAAGTGCCTCACCCCCAACACCGGAGCCCACACCCATCATCCTTTCCACATCAAAGAAGAAGACACAAAGTCAGAGGTCGTGAGGTACTGAGCTGAAGGCACAGAAGACAGACCTGCCTGTTTCCTAGAAAAGCAACACACACCCCTCACCTATTAAAGGTAGATAAGTGCCTTTAGTGTGGTTTTAATATATCAAGAGAACAGCAAACCAACATGAACCACTTCTGAATATAGTAGTCCCACCCATCTGTTCCAAGACCCCCAGTGGATGTCTGAAACTGCAGATTGTATAGAACCCAAATGCAAACATCATTCAAACACATTTCTGTTAATTTCACCCACAAATTTGTTGTCTTTTTCATCTTAAGTAAGTATTTATCATGCTCTGTGACCATCACTATTGCAGCTTGAGATGCAGTAGCAAAATCAGTGTAAATTTTCTTTCTCGTTCATAAATTTTCAAATAGAAGATTCATTCTTACCATAACTCTTTGCAACTGCAGCCTATATATTTTTTCTTTCCTTATTAAGTTAAAAACTTTCACTTTCTTACTTGAAGGAAGCAGTTTATGGTTTCTCTTTGGCATTTCCAAATTGCTAGAATCACTACTCTTGCACTTTGGGGCCATTAGTAAGTATAATAAGGGTGCCTTGAACACAAATTGTGGATATTGTGAGTTGATCTGATAACCCAGATTGCTACTAGCTGACTCACAGGCAGGTAGTGTATACAGCATGAAAACACTGGACAGAGATGATTCACATCTTGGATGGGATAAAGAGGAACATCTCAAGATTTCAAAATGCCACTCAAAATGATAGGTAATTTCAAATTTATAAATTGTTTATTTCCAGAATTTTTCATTTCATATGCCCAGGCTGTGGTTGACCACTGGTAACTAAAGCCTTGGAAATCAAAACCATTAATAAGAGTGTACTACTGTAGTCTGAAAGTCCAAGTTTCCTGTCACTTTTTATTTAGAGATAGACTGAGAGGTCATAATTAGATTTTATGATAATGATCTTGTAAGGTGTTGCCAGACATGCTGACATCACCTTACTTACAAATTACATCCTAGAGAGTACCTACCTACATAAGGGAACTGAGAAATTTAATAACAAAGTTCTTTAAATTATGTCCCCCAAAATTTTCATTTTTGAACATTTAAGGACTTAATGAATATTTGTTGCATGAAATAATTATTTACAATTGCTTATTTGAATAATTCAGATATTTTCTTAATCTTCTATAGAGTTTATACAAAGAATACTTTATCAGAATTTTACTAGTACAGTTTTTGGCTACTAGTCTCCTTCACTTCTCCTGTTCTTCTGTCCCTGCCCCCCATCCCAAAAATAAGCAAGTTGAGATTTATAAAATTTTACCCCTGCTACTTTATAAGGCAAATATATTCATAAAAAGTCTTTATAATATGATACCATTCTAGTTGTGGGTTCTGTTATTCTACAAGACAAATCTTTGTGCAGCATATTCACCCCTCTTTTATTGGGAGTTTAAGGCAGCTATGTTTTTCTCTTCTATTTCACCTGCACCAACTTGATGTCATCTGCACATCTTCTGAGAAGGCTTGTGTGTTTTTTATTTCATTCAAAGCCAAAACTGTCAAAATTGATCCTTTCTGAGCATCTGGGGCTGAAAGATTTTTATTCAATCTTATTTTTTTTTTTTTGTTAATCTTTTGATCTGTAGATTTTAGTCATACTTTTTACAATAAGCTGTATTCGCTTTGATTTTTTTCAATGGATATTTAATGGATTTTTTTTATTTAATGGATGTTAATTATTAAAATGTCTGGTAAGAAGTATGGTCCTTCATTCATATTCAACAAATATTTATGAAATTTCTACTGTATGGAAAGTATTGGGCCAAGCAGTGATTCAGTCTTTCTTGATGAAATATTGGTATCTCCTATTTTATGTACTCAAAATTATAAATAAATATGAATACTTTTTTAGAGTTAGTAAAATATTTATATTTTAGTGCAACTAGGGCTATAAAACAGATTTAGTCACTTTTAGTATACTAAGAATTTGAGAGAAAAAAATACATTTGGTAGATTTCTAGTTGCTTGCCTCACTAAATATTATCAAATTATTTGCAATGATTGAGGCATCTAGAACACCCTGCTGTTCTAGAAAGAAAAAATACTTCATTTTTGTATTTCTATTAGTGATTATCAAACAAGGTGATTTTGCCTTTCAAGAGGCATAGGCACAGTCTGAAGACATTTTTAATTGTTATGAATGAGGGATGGGTTGAGTATTATTTGCTTCAACTTAATAGAGGCCAGGAACACTGCTATCTCAAGATACGCACAGTAAAAGTCCATATTTGGTTCAAAATATCAATAGTATAAGATTGGGAAACCCTGACTTACATGAACTAAATGTAAATGCTCGCCATCTCTCCTCCAATGACGAGTGGCTGGATAACATGGAGTCGGGCAAGATGGCACCTCCCAAGAACGCTCCCAGAGATGCCTTGGTGATGGCACAGATCCTGAAGGATATGGGAATCACAGAGTATGAACCAAGGGTTATAAATCAAAGGTTCGAATTTGCTTTCCGTTATGTGACTACAATTCTGGATGATGCAAAAATTTATTCGAGCCATGCTTAGAAACCTAACGTTGATGCAGATGATGTGAGACTGGCAATCCAGTGTCGTGCTGACCAATCTTTTACCTCTCCTCCCCAAGAGATTTTTTACTGGATATCGCAAGGCAGAAAAATCAAACCCCTTTGCCATTGATTAAGCCATATGCAGGATCTAGACTGCCACCTGATAGATACTGCTTAACAGCTCCAAACTATAGGCTGAAGTCCTTAATTAAAAAGGGACCTAACCAAGGGAGCCTAGTTCCACGATTAAGTGTTGGTGCTGTTAGTAGCAAACATACTACTCTTACTATAGCAACCCCACAAACGGTGTCTGTCCCAAATAAAGTTGCAACTCCAATGTCAGTGACAAGCCAAAGATTTACGGTGCAGATTCCACCTTTTCAGTCCACACCTGTCAAACCAGTTCCTGCAACAACTGCAGTTCAGAATGTTCTGATTAATCCTTCAATGATTGGGCCCAAAAATATTCTTATTACCACCAACATGGTTTCGTCACAGAACACGACCAATGAAGCAAACCTGCTGAAGAGAAAACATGAAGATGATGATGACAATGATATTATGAAAGGAATATAGTCTAGTCTAGATGCATTTCAAAAGGAAAGTTGGTTTTGAACTCAGTATACTGAACTAGAATATTCTAGATCTTCTCGTTTTACCTTAAGACTGAAACGTAGCTGCAGTATTTTTCATCAGTTAAAACTGTTAGATCTCTTTAGTAAACATACAAATGTGTTTATCATTAGGCTTCAGTTACAAACAGTTAAGTACTTGTTTCTTAATAGTTTCATTAATGTTGAGTCCTAGTATGGCAATTCTGTTTTTGAGACACTTTTCTGCCTTCTATCACTGATAGCAGCACTTAAGTTTCAGGTTCTACAGCCTGGTCAGCAGATTTATCTTTAACAGCATAATTTCTGATCTATATTTAAATACTACTTTATTTTATAAGGTAATATAGTTACTGTCACTAGCTTATTTTTTTACCAAATCTCTCAATTTAGGAAACATTTTTTGGAAAGGGTGGATTTAGAGGAGAGACTCTAAATCCATTTTGAATGTGTCTGTTTCTTTGCCTTCCTTAACTCCCAAACTCAACTCCTTTTCTGGATCCCATTCATTTTCTGCACTTCCCCCATAGGCTTGTTTCTCTCCATTGCTGTTAAATGTAAAAGGCCATACCTGGAATTTTAAAAATATCATTCCTGGTAATACAGCTCATTGTCATTTTCCTATTTTTAAAACATGCTCTACATGCCTAATGTTTTGTGATTCACTTTAACCTGATGGTTTGAATTTGCTGGTTTTCACTCTTCTTATCAGAGCAGTTGGAGTTTACACCTTAGTTTTTATGCCTGTTAAGTTATACTGTGCTTGACAGGTAGTTTTGGGTTACATTCAGTTTTAGTCTTGTATTCCAAGTTGATAATTACATGTTTCACATTTCTAAATTTAACAGAGATGCTGTAGCTTAAAACATGTTTTGATAAGTAATTACACTGGACCTAGGCAAAACCACTGAAGAACAAGTGTTCCTTTTTACCACATACATATTATGTTTTGATCACTGCTGCTTGAGCCCCCCTATTGGTATAATTCAGATTGGTTTTTTAGCTTGTTGACATGAGGATGTCACATATAAGATGGGATCAAACCTGAAAGTAAGACACTGATGGTTCTCCATCCTCTATAAGGTCCACAAGGAAAACAAATTAGTGTGATGTGACTTGGATTTATGTGCACTCTGCATAGGTTTCCCAATAATACTGTAATGTTACTGAACCCTTTACCCTATTTTCCATTTACACAGTCATATTGGGAAAGATGGCAAAGCTTTTGCAAATATAAACACACCTGTTTTGTTTTTCTTAAGTTCAATGTACTTTTGTAGAATTTTGTAAAATAAATGTGTTCGTATCATAATTTAGAATTTATAGCCAAGGATCCTCAAAACAGAAGTTTCATCTTAGGATAATGCTTGATATATCTAAGAAAAAGTCCAGTAACAGAGAAGAAATGTCTCATCAGTTTTAGTGTTTTCGATATTAGGGAAAGGTAATATAAAAACAGGTAAAATATATAAAAACAGACCTGATCAACATCATAGGAGATAAATATTCATTATATAGCATAGGATATTATTACTTGAATGTTCTCAGGGAGGCAGCAAGTCAGGGGGCCTAGGTTCTAGTCCTAGTTCCATCATTTACCAACTGTGTGACCTTACTTCACCTCTTAGCCTTGTTCTCCTCACTAATAGTAGGAAAGTAACACCTACCCTGCCTACCTCACAGGACTGTTGTGAGGGTTCAATTGGTATATGTGAAAATTCTTTCAAAATTGTAAAATACTATATGATTATAAGGAATTATTGTATTTGTTCCAAGGTTATTAATAAAAATTTGAGCTTAAAATATATATATATATGTATAAATGCTCTATTATGTGTGTGCAACATAGAAACAAATAAACTAATGAAGAAAATGTTGATGTGCTGAGTTAAATTTTTTTTTCATATTGTATTAGTTCAAAGTAGGTAGATTCTTTATTTTGTATATTTAATATAAAATATATAGGTTTTTTTTACATTTTCCTTTAATTTATAATGGTTTTATTAAATTATAATTGCCATTAGTTGAAACCATTAAATGCAAATCTGACTAGCTTCTCAAGTATCTAAGGAGACACAGCTGGAATGAAAACAGATGGAAGGTATAAATGAGAAGATTCAATTAACACTTTTTTCTTCTAGCACATGTTTTACAAATAAAATCCCCTGGGATTAAAAATGAGACCTTAATTCAAGAAATATGGTGCCTTCTGACCATGTTTAGAGCAAAATATTTTACCACCTTTTGACATCATTTGGAGTTCGGTCCAAATCTATGTCCTTGGGGTCAAGTCACAAATACGGTGACAAAGAAATTCTAAGCTAAGAGCAACAAAATTACTATACATTAGAACACTAATTTAGTGGCAGCCTGATTCTTTCAGAAGTCATTTTCTACTTCTAACAGCATTATAATTGTCATTATAAGATTAGATTTGACACTATGATTCCCAAGAATGAACATAATAAAAACACACTATTTATTATAGTGCTAGCAATTGTCCTGCTGTGCCTTCTTCAACATTTAAAGGGATCAATGCAATGTAGTTAATCAGATCCATTAGAAACATCTTTATTTTGAAAATTTAAGGCGTCTTTAAACACTAATTTAAAATACGCCAAAATTGAGTTTGGCTATTCATAAGGCTGGGATTATTTTCCAACTCTCCCTTAAGAATGAACAAAGAGCTGTAAAAAATTAGCTGATGGGCAGAGGCAAGGTTATGGATTTATTTCTTAAATTATTTCAATAGCTCAAAATATTGTAGATGATTTCAGAGTTAAAGATGATAATCATATTTCCAGTGTTCAGTAGGGCTATTGCAGATTTCAAGAAAAAGATAGATGCCCAACTTACCGTGAGATAGATTTAGAACACATGGGACATAAAGAAATCTAGACATTTCAGCAGTAGTTGTGTCCCCCCAGCCAATCACATGCAGCCCACCACTGTCATGAGTCCGCTTTTTTTTTTGTCTCTGCTTCCACTTCCACTACAATTTGTTAGTACTAGTTCCACTAATATTTCTTCCAGAAGGCTTATGTCTGTGGGCTTCTATGCATGCTATACCTTCGGTTCTGATTTAATGTAGATTTTCTACATTACTTCTAGATTATCCCTTTTCTGTGTGATTTATATTAAGAATATCCAAAAAGGTTTTGTCCACATTTGGTGATTTATCAAACAAATGAGAGAATTCCTGGTAGTCAGAGTTTGCAAGACAGACCTCTTCACAGAAAACTGGCACCTTTCATGTCTGATTGTCCAGTTTCTAGTTGGCTGTCTATTGTTAGAAATTCCTAGTTCAGTCCTGGCCACTTTGTCTAGGGCTGCAAGTTAATAAACACGGAGCATATTAGTGACACCTGAAGAACAACTGTAGGCCTCTCTATTCAGACGTGACTGGTAATTGTAATATGTACTCAAAGCTTTCTGGACTTCTTCTGAGTTTATCAAATAATCAATAATTAGGATAATTCATACTTCTAATCAGATATTTTATCTTGAACCAATCAAATGACCCCCAAGTAAAATATAAATAAGATGAGGGTAAAAAAAATATTGTAAATACTTGTGACAAATCCACAACAGGACTATCATACAATATTTCACTAAATGTCAAGGAAAAAAGATAACACATAGTAGGAATTTTTCAGGTGTAAAAAAATGCAAGTGTGCAAATAGTGGTGGGGTAGATCTTGACACAAGCAAGCAAGTAAACAAAAATCCCTTTCTAATGGAAAAATAATAGCACAAGAGTTATTAGGAAAAAAGATCGTGTTATCATGGAAAATGGGATAATGGGAAATGAGATGTTTTAAATATGCATAGTGTGGGCAGAATTTACCAAATATCATCATAACATGGTTATTCTTTGATGACATAACATATATCAAGCCAATGAGAAGATAAAGTAAAATCAAAACTATGCTTTTTGAACTAATAAATTGATATAGGATGAAAATACAAATGGCTGACAAAAACATGCATAAACTTATGAAAAACAGCTATATAATAGGTTATTTATGAACTTTTAAGTTTTTATAGGGCATGACCTTTTTGGGGTGGTAAGGGGGTGCATAATTTCCAGCCCAATAATAATTTCTTGGTTGCTGCCTTCAAATAGAATACTGTGCTGATTACTGATTAAAACAGTCTATTTAGCATTATTTGTCATGGTGTTTCCTCTGTTTTTCAAAATATATTTTATTGTGGTAAGAATGCTTAACACAAGATCTACCCTCTTAGCAATTTTTTTAATTTTAATTTTAATTTTAATTTTTTTTGGAGATGGAAATTGCCTAGGCTGGAGTGTAGTGGCATGTTCTCAGCTCAGTGCAACCTCTGCCTCCTGGGCTCAAGCAATTCTGCTGCATCAGCCTCTTGATTGGCTGGGATTATAAGCAAATGACATCACACCTGGCTAATTTTTGTATTTTAGTAGAGATGGGGTTTCACTGTTGGCCAGGCTGGTCTCGAACTCCTGACCTCAGGTGGTCCGCTCACAGCCTCCCAAAGTGTTGGGATTATCAGTGTAAGCCACCACAACGGACCAGCAAATTTTTTAGTTCACAACACAGTATTGCAAATTATAAGCACAATGTTGTACAATAGTCTACAATTTATTCATCTTGTATAAGTAAACTTTGTCCCTATCAATTGACAGTTTTCCATTGCTTCCTTCTCTCAGCCTCTGGTAAGCACCATTTAACTCTTTGATTCTACAGATTTGGCTATTTTAGGTTTCATGTATAGGTGGAATCATGCAGCATTTGTCCTTCTGTTACTGGCTTATTTCACTTAGCATAATGTTTTCAAGGTTCATCAATGTATTGCATATTGCAAGATTTCCTTCTTTTTAAAGGTTGAAAAATATTCTAATATATACGCATGTATATATATCACATTTGCTTTATCCATTTATCCATTGACAGACAATTAAGTTGTTACGACATCTTGGCTATTATGAATAGTGCTGCAGTGAACACAGGTGTGCTAATATCTCTGAGATCTAGACTTCTTTTTTTTTTTTTTTTTTTTTTTTTGATAAATACCAGAATTGGGATAGCTGGATTACATGGTAGTTCTATATTTACTTTTTTGAGGAGCATCCATACTGTTTTTCATAGTAGATGCACCATTTTGCATTCCCACTAGCAGTGTGCAAGGGTTCTAATTATACCACACTTTTGTCAGCACTTGTCTTTTTTATTATTATTACTATGATTATTACTATTTTTATGTTAGCACATATACAGTGATATCTCAGTGTGGTTGTGATTTGGTTTTCCCTGATGACTAGTGATGCTGAGCACTTATTCATACAACTGATGGCCATTTGTATGTCTTTTTTGGAGAAATCACTATTGAAGTACTCTGCCAATTTTTCATTTTTTTAAATTGAGTTGTAGAAGTTTATTATATATTGTGGATATTAACCCTTTACTATAATCTGAATGTTCATGTTGCCCCCAAAAGTCATATGTTAGAATTCTTACCCTCAATGTGATGGTATTAGAAAGTGGGGACTTGGGATTAGGTCATGAGGGTAGAGACCTCATGAATGTCATTAATGTCCTTATAAAAGAGACCCAAGAGAGATTCCTCACCCCTCTTACTCCATGACATTACAATAAAAAGACCCACCTGTTTAAAAGTA